TTTGTATTGTTTCATCACATTTCGACTTATATCATATTTTTATTATGTTGAATATTTTATGAAATTATAGCTCCCTTCTTCGTGGATTGCATTTCTGAACAAGATTTAGATGAAATGAATATTGAAATAATCAGAAATACATTATACAAAGCTTATTTGGAGGCATTTTACAAATTCTGTAAAGAAATTGGTGGAACAACTGCAGATACCATGTGTGAAATACTTGCGGTATGAAGTTTAATAGAATTAATGAGGTATTTCATAAATTGACACATACTAACTGTACATTATCTTTTCAGTTTGAAGCTGATAGACGAGCAATTATTATAACTATCAATTCATTTGGAACTGAATTGGGTAAAGATGATAGAGCTAAATTATATCCACGTTGTGGAAAATTGAATCCTGATGGACTAGCAGCACTGGCAAGAGCTGATGATTATGAACAAGTTAAAGCTGTAGCAGAATATTTTGCTGTAAGTGCATGTTTTAAGAATAAGAACTTATGCTTTTTAAGAAATTTATATCTTTGAATTCATATACATTATACATATATTCTTTTGCAGGAATACAGTGCCTTGTTTGAAGGTGCCGGTAACAATCCTGGTGATAAAACTTTAGAAGATAAATTCTTTGAGCATGAGGTAAATTTAATACTACCACAAAAATTAACACAGTAGAGAACATTTTTAGACGTTATTAATTTTAACGTTACTACCGCAGGTTCGCTTAAACGTTCATGCTTTCCTTCAACAATTCCACTTTGGAGTATTCTACAGTTATCTTAAATTAAAGGAACAAGAATGTCGCAACATCGTATGGATAGCGGAATGTGTTGCACAAAAGCATCGTGCTAAAATAGATAATTACATTCCAATATTTTAATACGCTTCTCAATGTTTTGTTGATTACCTGTGTTTAACTATGCAACAATATCACACAGGAAAAGTAAATTTTTCTTCTTACTTTTATTTTTCAACCATAAATAACTAATAATTCTACAGTATTTCGTAATTGTAAAGAAACGAAAACTATCATCTGAAAACAAAGTATAATTATTTAATGAATAATTATAATGAAAAAATGATTATACATCTAGCCAAATTGAACAGATGATATTGAAAATTATTATTTAGTATTATTGTCATACATAACAAGAGTTTATATCATATAGATGTACATAGTGTATTTTATTGTAGACCAGTATATATTATGTTTGATATTACCTGATGTTGTAATTATTGATTCTATTGTAATATAAAATAATATATAATGCATTCCATAAATTCGAAACATTCAATTCAAATAATAATATCTTATATTAAATTGAACTTCTTCATTCTTCATCATTCTTACCCACAGAACAAATAAAAAAAATGTGATATATGCATGCACACATCACTTTTATAGTCAATTAAATTTTCAATAACAAATCTAATCAATTTGTTAAGTAAATTGGTATATCCACACAAACAAAATAGATAAATATCGCTAATGAATACTTACAATCTTCTAATTTATAAAATACTTATATTTTGTATTTTTCTTTTAATAAC